GAGGGTGGCGCAGCTTGGGGGTGGAGGGGGCTCCTCGGTGGTGAGGACGGCCTGGTATTGGTCGAATCTGTGGAGGGACTGCTACGAGGACTCCACGGCTGTGGTGAACTGTGTGGACCTGGGCGTGCTGTGGAGGGTCAAAGGTGGGCAGACCTTGGCCAGTTTTAAGGTTTTACATCATCAGGACATAATGAAGGTAGTGTTTTGAATATCAAAGTCCCCGCAGTACAATCAGAAATGTCCGAAAAGGTTCGGACCCACCAAAGTGATTCCTGACTTTGTTTATACACAACTCTGACTGGTGACTGGTTTTCTTTTAGTTGAGTGTGTGTGGTCTTTCTTGTATACGGCGTGTGTGTGTTTGTCTGTTCCCAGCACAGATCCAGACCGTCCGGGGCTGCTGGCCGGTCTTTGCCTGGGCTTGACCGGAGCTGTGCTGTCATTTTTCGGGATGGAGTGCACGCGCGTGGGCGGGGGCCCGAGAAGCAAGAGAAGGATGCTGACCGCAGCAGCTGCCGTCCAGCTGGCCGGCTGTGAGTGTCACTCGATAGCTCCGGCTTCTCAGAACATGGAGTCCCTGGTTTGCCTTGAATTTTCTTTTTTCTTTTTTTTTTCTTTCCCTTGTGCGTCATCATTTTCTCCTCAAGCAGGCGTGTCGGATGTGGCTGGTTTTGGTTTATACATAAACAGAGTGGCCTCGGCTTTTTTACACAGCAAAGCAGATCCATCAAAACTGAGGTAACACGAAGTCTTTTGTACATCCAGTCTATATGAGGTAATATGGTAGAAAAGATTAAAAAAAGACCGCTATCTCTCCAGCTATGAGATTGGACCCCCCCTGTATCTGGGCCTGGTGGGGGGTGCTCTCATTGCTCTTGGCTCTGCGGTTCACTGTGCAACAGCGTGCAGACCTAACCGCCTCCAGAGGTTTGTTACCTTAGCTTTGAAGCAACTGAATTCAAACAAAAAGCACAGCGATTGGTCCTGACCGGTGGTTTCCTTGCTGCAGGCATGCTGCAGGAGCCTCAGACAGACAGAAGGATCAGAGAGCGGGTCGCATCCACCGGCAGCCAAACCGGTGGCCTGCTCCTTCATACAAAATGGCTTCTGTTGTGACTGTGTGACCAGAGATAGCCTCAAGTGTCCACTGTGTAGCGTAGACTGTACTCACCAAGCAAATTCTCCTCTAGTTAGAAATAAAATGAGACAGTGATTTCTTTTTTGCACATTTGATTAAAAAATATTGCTGGAATATAACCTGATATTTAGGGATGACTACTATGGCTCTCCTTATGTTAGATAATACTATCATTCAAATTAATAGTGTTTGTGTGCTTTTTGAAAGATCAAAGTGCCCAAAATTTGGGGCCCATCACCCCTTTATAGCCCGATTTTTTTTTTTAAGTCTTTATTTTGGCTGACAACATATTTAAAAAAGTAAACATAATTTATTAAGATTCGATAAGTAAAAACTTATTTTAGTCTTCTGCCTGCTGTTGTCAGGTATATCTGAGTGTGCAGAACAGGGTTTTTGGGAAGTTTTTATCATTAAATGATCCAAAAGGTCTGAAATTCAAAACAGAAGGCGTAGGAATCAAATTAATAGGTTAAGCATAAAGGCACTTTAATTAAAAGTGAAATGCCAAATCATCCACACATGATGTATAATATGAAATGTCTTTCTATATAGTGAAATATTGTCAATAACTGTCAAAAACACATGTATAAAAATAGTTTAGTGGCAAACTAGGGGTTAACATATGTGCATATAGTCTGTGTAAAACAAAGTGTAACTGTCAACAAGGACTGCAGAGCGATGTGATCCGCCACCCTACCGGCTGGGAACCCAGAGGATGCTGACTGGACAAAACTATCTAAAAGATAAGATGAGATACAGAGCAAACATCCACCCTGCTGGTCAGCCAGCTCAGTCGTATTCCCAACAGTAGGACAACATTCGACTTTTGTGCAATTTTTGGCAGCAGTTGGGTTTGAAATCCGTCATGAAGTACCGGACAGTGGTGATGTACGTGGAGATCGGCTGCTTTGTGTCCTGCCTCTGCGGCTGGATCCTGGTGTGTTCCACTCTTCCCACAGAGTACTGGACGTTCTCCGAGGTGGGCAGCATCGTGCTGACCACCTCCAACTACTACTCCAACCTGTGGAGGGACTGCATCTCGGACACCACGGGGGTGTCCGACTGCAAGGACTACCCGTCCATGCTGGCTCTGCCAGGTGAGGTCCTGCTGGAGTGTTAGGGTCTCAGCTTTGCTTTAGCTTGATGTGGTCAAGGCTGTGTGAAAATGACACTCAGGGGACTCAATTCTCACAAAAAAAAGAAAAAAGTATGAGACAAAAATGAAATTTTTCCTAAGCATACTAGGAAATTATCCCTTGGTAAATTTTGCTCTTGCTTAAACTTCTAACTCTGAAAATTTTTATTAATCTAAGTAAGGAACTGCCTTCTCAAAAAGTTCATGTATGACGTGTCCAGAGGAAATCTGAGGACATTTAGAATCTAACTATGTAACTTGGTGACGGAAAAGAATTGTGACTTGACAGCTCACCCAAAATGAAAAGCACAACCTAAAGTTAAAACATATGCACAGTTGACATTTAGGGCCCTGTTTGTCTGTCTTCTGTCAGCCACCATTTTAGGGCTAGTAGGGCCATTCAAATTCACTTTAAGCCTGTTTAACCACCGTCGGTGGTTTATAATGGTGCTAAAACTAACAACAAAGAAGTTGCGAACCTCTGTTGGGTGTAGTTGTGGGTTGGGTGTTGTGCAAATGTAGCCCTAAAGCTATGCTAATGAGGCCCTACAGGGACATTCAGAGTTCAATTAGCATCCTTTAAGGAACAGACGTCTGCACAACGGGGACATTGGAGAGCAAGAACCGGGGCAATTATTGTTTTAACGTTTCATTTTTTGTTGGTTTTGTTGTCGTCCTCCAGTGTTCCTGCATGTGGTCAGAGCTCTGGCAGTCTGCGCGGTCATCACCGGCTTCTTCGGGGGCGTCCTCACGCTCATAGGCATGAAATGCACCAAGATCGGTGGAACTGAGATCACCAATGCCAGGGTGACGTTTTCTGGAGGCCTGACCTACCTAGCCTCAGGTGGGGATACCTTTATTTGTCAAATGGTTGTAATTTGGACTGATTATGCGTTAAAAAATCCAAACCTTCCCCGGCAGGATTCTGTGGCATGATCACCTACTCCTGGTGGGCCCATAAAGTCATATCCGAATTTGTGGATCCCAACTTCAAGGCGCAGAAGTCAGCCCTTTTAACATTGGCGTCGCCATAATGACATTGATGTTTGTGAGTGATTGCGCGCTAAAACTTGCTTGCCGTGCTTTTCATTCAGGTTTGAACTCGGAGCGGCGGTTTTTGTTGGCTGGGGGGGTTCCATTCTTCTCATCTGTGGTGGGACTGTGCAGACTTATTTCTCTGGAAAAGAAGGCCTGCAATCTAGGTAAATATAAAGCCAACCCCGGTTGGCGTTGTCAAATCTTTACGTGATGCGTGTTTTATTTTTACCTCTATAAAACTAAAACAAAAAGTGTTGAATCAGTTCACCGGGAGGACGGGGGCCCGCTACGTACGCCTCCCCCCGCAGCAGGCTGACCTACATGCGCCCGCCGGCCTCGTCCCGGGTGACCTGGGTGCCGCCGCTCTACTACACCAGCAGGAGTCAGACCGCCCGCACGACCACGAGGACCAGCCAGCCCTACAACCGGGACACGTTTGTCTGAGACAGAGCGGTTCTGTCAGGTGGACATTGACCAACTCCCTTCTTTTTTTTTTCTCCACTTCTGTGGCATTTAGGTTCATGTCAGATTTGCAACTTTGGGACGACGGCAGAAATGCATCAGTTGTGGCTCCAAACCACTAATTTGCTGCCCCCCAAAAAAAAAAATCTAGGAAGATTAATTTGTTTTAGGTTTTACTTAGGCTTTTAGAAACAAATTCTTCATTCAACCAGTGGCTGAGGATGAAAATCTTGAATTTTTGAGAAGCAGAATGATTTTTCTTCCTGTCTGTATGCTTTGTTTTCAAATCACCTCTTACCCCAGTAGAGCCTCAGCTAATTTAAATTTGGAACCCTTGATTTCTGCCAAAAAACAGATTATTGATAATTTGCCCAAAATAATGTAGTTTGATTTTTTTATCTGATAGTTGAGATAAATGTGAAGCAATGGATGGGGAGTTAAATATCTTTAAGAGAAAAAAAAAAAAAAAAACCCTGTCAATGAAAATTTGATCAAATGAGCAACCGTTTCCTTCATCATCTTTATGACTCAGCATGTCTTTGTCCATGGGGGGTGGGGGTTCAGTCTCAAAAGGGGACCGCTCTATGCTCCAGGAGGAGCTTTGGGTTGGTTTACATTCAACATTACATGTAGCTAAATTTGTAGTTTAAGAATCAGACTCTTGGATGGTACTGAGCTCCTGGAGCCCCCCAGTGGTCATAGCAGCCTAACCAAATCTTTCTGCGCACTTTTCCAATCCCACGTCTGGGTGATGTTACTTATTCCAATGTGAGTCGTGCAGGAAGCCACTAGAACTCTGCGTTACATTAGCCCCCCCCCGCGTACTTGGAGGAAACACGTCCTTTATTGCTCGTACATAAATATTTTCATACAAAGTCACATCTCGACGATATAAAATCTGATGTACAAAACTTTACATTGACGAACAGTACAAAAGCAGCCAAAAAACAACCACAGAATTCGAGTGAATATTAAAAATAAAATCTAATAAACATTGTAAAGGTGAGCTGACACTTGGCACGAGGCATAAAGTGAAACCCATCCCATTTCATCCCTAACGTGTTCGTTGGCTGGTGTCTGGATGCTGGACGCGTGTACGCTGAGCGTTTCCCTTTTTCTCTAATATCGCTTCCACACGGTGAGGAAAAGGGGTTAGAAATGTGGTTATTTGGCATTGACTGTAGTTGACTGAGGTTTTTTCTGTCTGTGCTGCATTGATGTGAGTGTTTATTGCTCGGAGTCGCTGATGTCGCTGAGGGAGCACAGGCTGCTCTTCAGGGTGCTTCCTGTTCCCGCTTCAGTCAGACCTGCCGGAGACAAGACGCCTCCTATTATCTTTAAAGCTGCTTTTATATTTGAACAGAGCAGGATGGAATGTTTTTTAAATAAAAAAATGGGGGAGCAGCAGATGGGTGACTGACCTGATCTGGGTCCCTTCCCGGTGGAGGTTCCCCACACGCTGGTGCTGGGCGTGTCCAGGCTCTTCCTCTGGGGCGCGGACAGCTGCTTGTCCTCCAGGGAGGACACCAGCCAGTCGCTGCTCTCCTCCAGGTCTGTGAACTGAGGCCACAAACACAAACATTGGCATCAGGGGGCTGAGGCCCTGACAAGAGGCCGCTGGTCCGGGTCTGCCGGGCCTTACCGACAGCTCCTGGACTTCGTCCTTCTTCTCGGGCAGGACGCTCACGCCCCCTGCTGGTTTCTTCGCCGACCTGTCTGTGAACTGCTTCTCCATTTTTCGAGCCAGCTCGCTGATTTTGTTCTCTAAAACGACAAAAAAAGGGACACGTGGGTGTCCGTCAAAAAGCCTGGAGTGGACCCTAAGGGGCTGGAGAGATATGACCTGAACTGACCTTTGCCGTGCCTCTTCTTCTCCACATTTCCATTCTGGTCTTTGTAAACCTGCAGCTCCTTTGGGTCAATTTCCTGCAGCTCGCTAATGTCTGACCACTCCTCCTCCTCCTCTTCCTCTTCCTCCTCGCTCTCCATCTTTGTGACGGCGGTCCGGGTCAGGGCGGCCGCCGGCGTCCAGGGCTGCTGCGGCCTGGCGGCGGAGGGATGTCCGACCGCGGCCTGCCTGGTCAGGACCAGACTGGCTTTGTTTGCTCTGATTTGGACGGGAGTGGCCTGGTTTAATCTGGGCTTTGATGACGTGCCCCTTTGCTGTTTGGGCTCCTGCTCCTCCTCTGTGTCCGACGACTCCTCCTCTTCTTCAGATTCTTCATCTGAACTAAAGGGAGGTGTCCTGATAAAAACAGGTTATTACTTAAGGTTTTTTTTTTCCAAGTAGGGTAGAGGTGATTTTGCTTATGGTTTACAACAAGTAGAATTTGATTAAAGCTTGCTTTTTTTCCTCTCCTGGTGCGCTAAGTGTGATAGGTGTGGATACATGTGAGGACGGGGTGGTCAGCCCTGAGCAGCCGTATTTCATAGAAACCATGGAAAGAGTTCGTCCTGGTGTCAGAATGTAAGAAACTGCTTTGGAGGGAACACAGAATGAGGTGTGTTTTCATACTTGCTGGTGAAAGCCGTTTTGGTGACCGGTGTGGAGGTCTTGGGCTGGGCGCTGGTTCTGGTCCTGGGCGCGGGCTGAGGGGTCTTGGGCTGTTTGACGGCGGGCCCAGAAGCCAGGTGGCTGCCTCTGGAGGGCAGGCTGCTGGATCGGGGGCGGATCTGAAGCACTGGAAGATCACATAGACACGATCAGGAGGATCAGCCACGGATGGCGATCGGCTTATGTGGACGCAGACAAGCTTTAGATGTGATAAGACCGGCCGGGTCAAAGTTAGAGTTAGTCGCTCTGATTTAAATCTGAGCGAGTGACAGAAATGATCTGTGACACGAAGCTGTCGACTGGCTCCGTAACGTCAGTTGGAGCTCAGTGGGGGCAGATCTGGGTTTTTTACAGGTGATGTCACACATTAAGAGGCTTTCTGATGACTCAGTCCTGGGAAGCACCTTGAACGGGCGGTTTGGGTCTGGCCTTTGGCTGCACGGCGGGGTCACCGCCCAGCTTCTGCTCCAGCGCGCTGGCTATCTCCTCCCGCCGCCGCCAGTACTCGGGCGTGGTCTTTGCCGCGCTTTTGGAGCGCATTTTGGCCAGAACCGACGTGAGCTCTTTGTTCTTCAGACCGCTCTGATCCTGCAAAACCGAGGGGGGCGGAAGCAAAGCTTGTGAGGGGACAGAATGGTCCAAACCCGCGTCTTTCTGTGCCCCTCTTGCAGCTTTAACTCACAGGCTTGACCCCCAGGCTCTCCAGCTTCCTGATGAGGGTGTGCTCGATCTCTGGACGCATCTCCCTCTTGATGTTGGGGTTATTTATTTTCAGAACGCCGGCCGTGCCGCGCTGTTTCTTCTCTCCTAAAGGCTCGGGCTTCTTCTCCGTACGCCTCCTCTCGGAGATGCTGCTGCTGGAGTCTGGAGGAGAAATTTGGCTTATTCAAAAAGAACGACAGCAGCGAAACAAACAACAATAAACAAACAAGATCCAATCACACAGGCAGCAGAATCATGAGGGCGAAAAAATCTAAAGCATGCGTCTGGAAAACATCCACAGAAAGCCAAAGGTTCTGCTGATAGACGGCGGCAAGATGATGGATGGAAAATGACAGCTGGCTGAGCTTTAAAAGCTAGAAAAACATGATATGCTGTCATGTGCAAAATGTTACAGTTCTAAGGTTTTGTGAATCAGGAATGGACAAAGAATTCTAAACAACGCACTTCTCCGTCATTTGTCGATTAAATTAGAGAAAAAAAGCAACCCAAAATGCACAAACTTGCTGGTGCATCCACTCTTTTGAAGCTTGGCTACTGAATTGGATGTTTAAGGTTAAGACTCAGATCCGTTATCATCTTCTATGAAAAATTTGAAAAGAAACAAGGTCCTGATGGGCTAAAACCTTAGAATTACGCTTATTCCTTCACATGACGTTACGTTACAGATCCACAGCTCTGTTTCCGGGCGGGGCCGGCTGCTGAGAACAGGCCGATGCGTTCATGCAGCGGCATGCAGCTCTGCATGGGTCGCGCTCCGTTACCTTTCTCCTCCTCTGACAACTCCTGTATAGGCTCCAGCTTAAGAGCGGAGGCCGGCTCCTCTAATCGGGCGGCGTGCCAGTGGGAGCCAACGAAACAGGCGTTAAAAGAAAAAAGGCCACATGGGGTCCGCATTGCTTTGTGAGAGTGTGCTGTCAGAGCCCAATTCTGGTACATCCCCCATGCACGGAAGCACAACCTCATCCTGATAACAGGGTGCTCGAAGCGGACACTCACCGAGTACAACCCGCTTTGGTTTGGGCTCAGGAACCGATGCAGCCACCACTGGAAAACAACAAGCGCCCAACGTGTAAAAGCCGTTTTTTAAAACAAGTTTCCAACATGTATTTAGCGGGGAGCCTTTCAGAAAGGAAAGAGCTAACGGACACAAAGAGAAGGACTCCATACCTGGTATTTCTACAACTGTGGTGGGTGGGTTTGAGGCGACGGTCCGTATCTGTCAACAGAATTCCACACCACAGAGTCAGGACACTGCTAAATGCTCTTTATGCTCAACTTATATCAGGAGAGTCTCAATGGCAACTTTTTGAATAAATAAAGACTTCTTTGGAAAAAATGTGTGGAACTATTCCGGGGAAAGGAGAGCGGGCTTCCTGTGGGCTCCAGCTCCTGCCAAATGTACAGTATCATCAAGCTAATACAGGATATCCTGAACGAGGGCTGACGCCCCGCCTGGCTTCCTCTCCGGTGGGGGGTGGGGGGGGATTACAGTGAGCGTTGGAGTGCTGACCTGCTCCCTCTGAGCTTTGATGGTTTGCTCCTTCTCCTGCAGCCTCCTCCCCATCTCCTGCTGCTGCCTCTGGCTGCGCTCCTGGTGCTCCGACAGGGACGAGCGCATCTTGCTCAGCTCGTCCAGCAGCTGAAAAACAGCAAGGAGAGGGAGAGGTTTTTCCCCCCCATTCTCCAGGATGCCGGGGAAGCTGCTGGCCGAGGCCTACCTGGTTCTTTTCGGACTCGTGCTGGGTCTTTAACTCCTGCAGCATGGATTGCCACTTTCTATCCTGCAAGAGAACGCTTTGGTCAAACCAGGCCGTCTCTGAGATAACTTTGAGTGACTCCTCCGAAGCCCACCTGCTTTTTCATCTGCTGCTGCAGCTTTTGGACGACCTGCAGCTGCATCTCTTTATAAACGTCCACGTCCCTCTCCGGCTGCGAGCTCACGGGGCTGACCGCTTTCTCCTGCCTGGCCGACTGGCTCTGATTGACGTCCTGCCAATGAAAACGGCGGCCGTTAGGAGAGGGAAGAGGCACAGAGGCATCGAAAGGCGGGGGGAGCCCATCTCGTACGTTGAGGGCTTGGATGTTTCGGTTGTAAAGAAATTCCATCTCCCTGCGCATGCCGTCCCTGCTGTCCTCTATCTTCCTGTCCATGCGGGCCATCTCCTCCGCCTTGAAGCGCTCCAGCTCTCGGAGCAGGTCTTTGTGCAGGGACTGCTGCTCCTTTTCCTGAAAGCGCCCCCGCCAAACCAGCCGCGTTAGCGGTGTCGACAAACAGGCTTCACGCTGTTAGAACGCCACCGGAAGAAAGCAAGCCATCCCACCTGAGCCACTTTGGCCTGCAGGGCCTGCTGCTGCTGGACGATTTGCTCCTTCAGACCGCTGATCTCCGACTTCAGGCTGTCGATCTGAGACTTCTTCTCACCGTCGGACTGCAGCTCTGGAGAGGAGAGAAAAATTCCAATTTGCGTGGCCCGATAACACAAATGGTTAATGAACCTCTGTGTTCGGGGGACTTACGGGTCTGATACTCATCAGGATGCCGCCGCTGCATGTGATTCTGAAGAAAGGAGGAATTGAGGAAGGACTTATCACAGTGTGGGCACTAGAAACCAAAAAAGAAGACAACTTTGTTTTTAATATACCTGAGGAGACACCCTCCATTAACAGGAGCAAAGATCCCCTTCCCAGGTAATTCCCAGGTAAAATACTTCATTTTATGGGCTATAATTTAGCAGGTATAGAGTGAACTAATCCTTTTTTTTTTAATTCAGGTTGCTAGCTGTCTGCACACTCCAGCACTCGCGATGTAAGGACGACGTCGCAGGTTTCCTACAGGTGGATCCTTCAAGTTTGGCATCTTCATTTCGTAAACACGAAGAGTACTCAGGTAGACATTTTTTATTCTATTTGAAAGTAACCATAGACCGAGCGTCTTTTTCTATCAGAGTTCAAAATGTGCCGTGTTTCATGCAGAAATGTTATTTTATAAATGCAACACACTAGTTAAAAAAAAAAGTTATACACAGCATAAAGGTAAAAAGAGTATATATATACAGTGTCATAATCATTTAGGATGAATAGAGGGTTTGGTGGCTCTTTTTAGGGTTTGAGATTCTCAAATCAGGTGTTAGGATGAGACGTTCCAGACTCCATTAAGTAGATTTTAGCAGACAAAGCTCCAGTCAATGAGCCGATGACGTGGAATACACGTGCTTCCAAACAGACACATGGCGTGAGTGATGCTGATATTCTCCCTGCAGCCGGCACCAAACGGCAAAGAAGCTGGCAGGGCCCCCCCACACACAACACGCTACATTTAACATCGCCATTCAATGCGCCCGACACTTCATTCAACATTAAACCTGATACTGATATCTTGCCACACTGTATTTAGATGCCTGGCACCACAGTCGAGGCTGTGAATCAGGTACCCGGTTCGGCAAAAGTGTGTAAATTAGAGTAAAAATGTAACGTGTGTGTGTGAGTGTCCTGAAGGACAAACGCGTTGGTGGCTTCTATGAATTATTGAACCGGCTCTGTTAGCTGAGCCTCTTGTGCACACCTAGCAACCACATGCTGTCATGACACGCTACAGCTGTTGCCTAGGCAACCCCTTTGGCCAGGTCAGCAGCAGCCATACGTGAGAGGAAGTCAGAAGGATTGGTTTATTTTTCTCTTAATAACACTGGCAGAATAACCTCCCAGAAAATGAATATGGAGGGCTCCTTCAAGGAAAACAGAGGAAGGGTCACTTTGATTAATGCCAGTTTTTCTTTTTTCCTTTTGGAAGTGGATTTACAAAATCTAATTTCTAGAAAAAGGCGCCATCTGCTCAGCAGATTTTAATCCTTTTCTTACGGTCTGAAAACAAAGCTTGCTACAACTGAGTGCAGGGCCTTTTTTTTGTTTTGGTTCAACAATCACATTCAGAACTAAAACCAGAACCAATTTTTCCCTCCGAGCTTTAATGCAAAGAGCACAAAGCTGGAGCTCTGAATACATCTTGGCAACAATGACAGCGTGGGGCCCAAAGGAGGAAGGGAAGGGGAAGGTGGCGTGGGGGTGATGGAGCTCCCTGTCTGCTTGCCGTATTGATGCAGGGGGGAAAATAACAAGCAGCCAATCCCTGAAGAAAGCGAGCTTTTAAGCCTACCTTCTGGCTGCTGATGATCCGTGGCGCGAGCAGGGACTGCTGCGTGCGAATAACCTTCTTCCGCTGCTTGAGCTCGGCAGTCAGCTCCTTGACTTTGTCCTCCTGCTTCTTCTGCTGACCCAGAAGCTGCTCGCGCTCCCGGCCGGCCGCCAGCAGCCTCTCCTCGGCCGCCCGCAGGTTGAGGCTGAGGAACTCCTGGCAGTGCAGGAGCCACTCCACGGTGAGCTGGGCCAGCTGCAGGAGCTTGAGCAGGGCCGGGTCCACGGGGCTCTGGCAGCGCTGGCACCGCTCCCCCTCCAGGCTGCAGAAGGTCACCGTGCTGATGTGCTCCTGCAGGGCGTCCACGTCCAGCTGGCTGACCACCAGGTCGATGTCCACCGCGTTGATCCGCCGCCAGTCCACGCTCTCCCGGCGCGGGCGGAACTTGAAGGGGAGCGCGGCGGAGGCTCCGCTGGACGGAGTCATCCCCGGCGCGGAGGCAGCGTGGCCGTTCAGGGACGGCTGGCTGAGGGGAGAATTGAGAAGGGAGGGGATCCCTGCTGATGATTGGGTCCCCTGGGCGTCACTGGTGTAGGGGTAGTAGACTCCGTCCTGAAATGGCTGAGACAAAGCCCAAAAAAGACGGTTTTCAATCTTCACCAGCATATGATGCCCTACATACAGTACAGAGAGACAGGACGAGGTAAAAACAGAGGAGGGCAGATTCCACCAGAGGAAACCCGCTCCCTATCTACCTATGAGGCGGCTGGCGTCCCGATGCAGCCCCGCTCTCCTTACCATCTTCGACCGATTCTGCCTCGGAGAGAGAGAGAACGGGAGAGAATCGAAGGCTCGTCCTCCTTCCTCCGCTTGGGTTCCGCCCCCCCGTTTGCATGCAGCTCAAAGCGACGACGGCGAGGCAGGGCGTCCGCCGCGTTACCATGGAGACAGAGAACCGGCGTCCCTGGGGAGAGAAATGTTGTGAAAACAGCGCAGACAGTCGGCAAACGTGAGTCCCCGCAGAGCGGGCATTAATGCCTGGAAGCCGAGGGGAAAGACGGCAGCCCGCCTACACTCTTAAGCACTGCTCTAAAACACGGGTATATTTAAAAAAGGAGAGAAAAAAAAAACGGCCGAACTAACCTCCGAGCGTGCGTGTGGGAGTTTAGAGAAAATGGTCTCTTTGCTAACGGCCCCCCCTAATTAGCAGCCTGTACGTCTTCCGAGACGGCAGTATCACGTCGGGGCAGGCTCTTTACACTCTTGTTTGGACCTCAACCCAAACAATGGCAAACAAGTTTGAACTTGCCCCAAAATGCAGTTGTTAAGACGAAGCACCAGGTTCAAATAAAATAAAATAAAAGACACCCCATCCTAAAAACCGCTTCCGTCCTTAAACCCTTAATGCGAGGCTGGCTAACGGACAGTGCACACAACGTCTTAGAAAAAAAGTTCAAAGGTAATAACGCATCCCAACTACTGTGAGAGTTCAATATGGTGTTTTTTAACGGAACTGAGGCGTTAACACTACTTACAGTTGGAGCATTGATGCTAATTTACAGCCCCTTCGAAAAAGTTTTCCATCGTAGAGACCCCAGTCAGTTTGAGGGTGACGTAGCTGCTGGACTCCACATTCCTAAATCTCTGCTCCGTGGAAAAAAAGGGGAGAAAAAAAAAACTACCATAAAGTGAAAAAGATAATGAACACAACTTCCGGTTGTTTATTTCAAAGTAAAACACTGTGAACGAGAAAAGAACGTGAACATCTGGTTAGTTTTAACATGTAAAAAAAAAACTAATGGTCAGCACAGATATGAGTGTATGTTGCAATTATCATATACTTTGTGTAAAATAAGCATTTGTTTAATGTGTTAATGTTTTAATACGTAATCATATTTTATCATCAAACTGTGATGCCTCTTTTTCCCGTGATCGTACTTTGAAGGTACGGCCACCCATTTCCGGTGTAGCTCTGTTAAATTTGACGCAGCTCAAAACGACCCTGGGGGGGAAGGGAGAAACGGCTTAAAAAACGGGGAGTCTGAAAACATGGATGAGGGGGAATAAGAGGGCGCAGCCTCGCCTGAAAGAAACAGGATTGAACTCTTTGAAAGCTTTAGGAGACTAAAAGCGGACGAATGGAATCATATATTCTTAGATACTATTTTGAAAGGACAGCGATAGACCGAAGTTAAGAAACGCACTCTCGTGCGTTATTTATTCTCAAACCTTTGTAAGAATGATTAATTAAGTTGTTAATATTATTGTTATTTGCAGTACTTCCATTTTAATTAAGAAAATCTTACTCTGCTCTGCTGTGAAATTAATACATCAACAAGTAACCACTTTAAACACGATAATAATTGTAATTAAACATGTTAACTATTATCCGTTATAGTATGATACATATTCAAAGGGAAGTATGAACCCCTTTTTTTGGTTATGAAAATTCAGACCTAGTGAAGCACCTAGTGGAAAAGTCGTCAGTTATTCGGTTAAAAGTTGTGAGAACTCAGGGAAAAAAGTCACCAGGTAACAGGAAAAAAGTCATAACTTTTTGGCTACTTTGACCTAACAACTTTTTTTCTGAGACCTGAAGATTACCTAAAATGTACACCGTACTGGTTACTGTTCAACATGCTTAATCTAACTTCACCAACAGATGTCAGTAAAGATCTGATCTGGGCTAACAGCTGGTGTTGAGTTACTGTTTTGAAATCTGCAATATCTAAGGGAAATGCCACGGAAAGCTGCTATGATGGGGAGCACCTCTGGGAGGTGACAGAGCTCCTGTTTTGTTTTTTTCTCGGGGAAACGGTCTGTAGGCACACTGCTTGAACATCAAGATCAGGAAGTTGCTCTTCTGGGGCTCGAGTGGTCTTTGAAGCTACGATGAGGGATTCATTCAAATTCAGGACAGTGCTGCTGGTGCTGAAACAGCATGTGGAATTAAAGAAGGGCTAAAGTTAAGATGACAGATGCAACCCGAACAACTGCCCCTCTCTGTAACGAGACGCTTTCATCAGTCCGTCAGCTGAACTTCTACTCACTGAGTACCGTCTTCCCTATCGGTTCTTGGACAGCTAAGTCTTTTGGACGTGGTCTGTAACTATCATCCCGACCCGAGGCAAGCCCTGGAAGCCTTCACTACTGGCATCCCAACGAGGCAGTGGAGTTCAGCTGTGGGACAAGATGCTGATGCTGTGTGTTCCCTCCATCCGCCCAAAAAGAACTGATTCTTTGAAACCCAATCACCCTTCACCGTCCCGCTATTTTGGGTGGCATTTTCCTCATCATTTCTGAACATTTCCCTTGCACGCTGTAGCTTCGAGACCAGAGTTAATGAAATGTTGACTCGAAAATAAAATCCACACTTCTTTTTTTTTTCTTCTTCTTCTATAACAGTTTACCGGTGCGAGACACACACAAGGGAGTGAAGTAGCGAAATTGCATTAGTCATGCAGTAAAAAGGAGCAGGGGAGTGCAGAGGAAGAGGAGCAGACCTCTTGAGATGAGTAAGCACAGCCCTCCTCTCAATTTATTGCTTGATTTATGAGTTCATTTCCTTCACGAAGTTCTCAGCGGGGGTGAGGTGGTATATCTTCCCCGCTATAGGTAGCAGTGACTCCACAGCCCAATTCCCTGCGAGACCCACTCCCACCACTGCAGGTCTTAGAGGGACTATAAATAATGGCTTCTGTAACAAGTACACATTGAACACAGAGAGGAGAGGATGCCCAAACACATTTATGAAGGAGGTTCTCATGTTCTCATGCAGGAGACCAAATGGATTCGGACCACTCTGCATACTGAGAGGCTGGGCTCAGTAATGGCTCGCTGAATCTTTGATCACAGCTGGGGATCTCATATATTTCATATAATTGGATGATAGGAAAAGGCCTTGGAAACCTTTCAAATGCAGCGTTTATTTATTTATTTAGTCTCTTCCCTGAGAGTTGAAGGGGGAGCTGTTGCTTAACAGGAAGAGTGTGGTAGAGTCATCTCTCCGGCATTTGTGTGCTCACAGTTTGGATAAAAAAAAGCCTTCAGAAAGTATGAAGTCAGATTTGGGTATTTATTGCTGTTTCTGGCAGGATAAAAATCAAGATGGTCCAAAACATACGATTCTAATTGAGCAAGATGAGTTCTGCGTCTGGATCATTTTAGCTTTAAATTAAGAAGGTGCGACCTGGACCTAGGTTAAAGGTTATCAGACAAGAAGGTAGTGGCCGGGAGCAGGTTAGGATACACGCTGTGCTCAGCTTAGTGGATGTTATCTTTTTGCTCTTAGCAGGTGCTTTTATCCAAAGACACAATGCAAATACATTACAATTAACACCAAAGCTCAAAATAAGATAAAAGAAGGAAATCACCAGTCAGACTCTTTTAGGGGCGACAGTATTGAGATAAAGGAAAGTTTAGAAAGAGAAACAACAGAGGGGGTTGGCATGAGGGTGGCTGCTGCTCTCTGAAGAGCTGGCTCTTTAAGAGTTTCTTGAAGATAAACTGGGACGCCCCTGTTCTCAGTAGGTCATTCCACCGTCGTGGAACGACACGCGAAAAGACTCCGGATTGACGGCTGGTCATCAGTCATGACTCCGTTGTGAGCTACGGATTGCATTGCGGTTGTATGCGGGATTCCACGTTCATTTCAGTGTTGTTGTTTTTTTACTCTGTTCCGACATGCCATCCATCCACTGGCCCTTTTGTGTTGAGTTATCACCGACAATTTTGGGTGCGTGGCACCACCAATTTAAAAAAGTGGTGTGCAGGCATACAGAGGACTCATCCTCAGCCAGGAGAGAGACCTCAGCACTGCAACATAAAGCTGAGTAGCAATCGAGCCCGTAACTTCCCACCGGTTTTTTACCTCTCAGACACTTTGTTGTCTATTTTGAACGAAGCGGTGGCAGGGGTCACCAGCGGTGAATCAGCTCTGTGGGAAGGAGAGATGAAAGAGTTCTGGGGAGGGGAGAAAGAGAGAAGCATCCCACCGTTTCTTTTCATTGTCCCCTATGAATGTTGCTCGGGTCATATAAGACCCCAGCTCTGAAGAATTATAAATAGCGGAGAAATGATGAAGCTTGCTCTGCTTTCTTTTCCTTTTCCTCCCACTGAGCAAAGAGGCATTGAATCTATAGGGAAAATCAGTCACAGCAGTGGAGGATCCTTTGAGGAAAAACACAGGTAATGAGGACTGAATATATATACGGAGAGAGTAATGTATGATGAATGTGCTCTCGGGGGTATAAAACTAAACTGAGACATTTATGTGAGGCGGGATATGCTGCCCGTGCCTGCAGTGTTCTCATTCCCTGCATATTTTTTTCTTCCTCTCTGCATTTTCGTAAATAGCCAATTAACTTTCTCATATGGTTTTAACTTTAGGCTTTGCTTAACGAGACGGGTTTCTGCACATCTGTTCAGAACAGACCCACACAGAGGCAGGAGGTGTTGGTGATCAGCACTCTCAAATGGGCACACTTTCGGAAAGTCTGTTTTCCCAGGGGTGAACTCTTTTCGTGTTATTTGACCCACAGTCCTGCTATCAAGATGCAGGTCTTGATAACTGTATATGTATTTAGCTAATTAGAAGCCATTTTCATCTCACAAAAACATTTGTACAGAGAAAACTGGTCAATGGGGACCCACAGATCACATAAATT